TATTATTTATTTTTATTTTAATATAGGAAAAAGGAGCCCTGGTGATGAATGGGTGAAAAGTTGGGCTGCTAACCTCAAGGTCAGAGACCCAAACCCACCAGCCATTCAGGAAGAGAAATATGTAGCAGTCTCCTCCCGTAAAGACTGACAGCCTCCAAAACCCTAGGGAGTAGCTGTACTCGGCCCTTGAAGGTCCTTATGAGACTGAATTTATTGGAAGGCAGGGATTTGGCTTGGGCTTTCATCTCTTTATAGCTTCCTTTTAGGCAGCTGCTTCAAGATATCGGCTTATTCTGGTATCAGAATTGTCTGCCTCTATGCAAACAGCGGAGCCCAAGTGGCACTGTGGGCTTGGCGTTGTGCATGTAGACCGCAGGGTCTAAAGTTCAAACGCACCAGCTGCTTCATGGGAGAAAGATGAGGCAGTCTGCTTCCTCAGAGACTTCGAGTCTTTCAAGCGCTCTGTACGATGGCTGTAAGTTGGGCTCGGCCCAAAGCCAGGAGGTGAGTGTAAACTAGAAAGCTCGGGTAGGGCTGTGGGTTAGCATTGGGCTGTTGACCCACTAAACCCATATTAAACCCAGCCAGCCCCTCCGTGGGAGAAAGATGGGAGGGTGCTTCCATAAAGATTCGCAGCCCTGGGAGCCGGAAGGATTCGCATCGCATCGTGTCTGCTGTCTCCCACGAGTTCGCTGCGGGTGGAAGGGAATCGGCCGCTGTGCTCTTCTTTCTTTCTTTCTTTTCTAAGAGCAGCCTTTGGAGTGAATCAAAAGCTGCCTGTGCAGCAAGAGAACCTGCTGTGATGGCGAACTGGTGACAAGGGGTTGGTTCAAGTCTTTCAAAGTGAGGGCAAGTTGGCATACCATTCAATGGCTGGGAAGGAGGCCTGGTGGAATAGTGGGTCATGGGTTGGGCTGCTAGCCTCAAGATCAGCAGATCGAACCCGCCAGTCACTCTGAGGAAGAAAGATGAGGCTTTCCACTCCCAAAAAGATTTGCAGTCTCAGAAACCTGAAGAGGCAGGTCTACCCTGTCCTATCGGGTCTCTGAGCCAGAATGGATTCGATGGTAGTGAAAAAGGGCAGGTAGGAGTTGTATCCATGTGGGGCATCTGACATCCATAACCTGGGGACGGCCTGTCGTGGGAAAAATGAAAATAACATAATTGTGCCCTAGATAAAACAAAAACTCATCTTTTTCTTTAAATAGCATTTTTTGAATGGAAAAACAATAAGCTAGTAGAAATTTCTTTTTAAAGCTTCTGTGAGCCTTTCGCCCTACTAAGTATTCAGCCACACTGGCTGCTGCTTAGATACACAGAGCAGCAGATGTGGCCAGGCCACTTAGTACTGACTTCTCTGGCCACTCCCACTCCCAGCAGCCTGTGCGGCACCCATGGAGCAGGCCATCCCTGCTCCCCCTTTTGTGAAAGGTGGCAGTCACAGCTAGAACATGAAACTGAAGGAGTGCCGTGCACAGCGTGGGAGAGAGCAGAGTGTAAGAGTTCCTCTAGCACTCTTCCTGGTGCGGTTGCTTTGAGAGGCCGGTGGGCCCGAAGCACTGGGGACAATCTGTGTTCTTCACCCACTGGCAGGTCTGCTCCTTGAGCTGTGCTGGGAGCCAGGGGCCTGTGTGCTGTTCTGAGACTTGACTGCTGAGGGCCCGGCTGTGCACACACTCACTTGAAAGCAGGATGCCTGATCCCCAGTTCGTTTGCATAAGACTCCTGAGAGCTTCCTGTTACCCAGCCTCTAGAGCATGCCTTTCCACTTCCCGGGCACTTAAGGGATTTCATGGGCTGTTCATAAATCAAACTGGTCCCCACTGACTCGGTTCCTGGAGGATGGAGCTCTTACACAGCTTCCTGTGGATCTTAAGGACTGCTCCCTACTTGTCCCTTTCTGCCTCCGCCCCAGCACGTTTTTACAATACAATCAGGGCCCTGATCCCAAAGTGGCATCATTTCAAGCAGCCCTCTGTGAACAACCTTGCCAAAGGCCTGAAGGAAATCCTTCCCTCCCCCAAACCCATGCTTTTCTCTGCCATCTTGTATCGACTGAAACAATTCTTTAAAAAATTCATTTGGATTGAAGTGTTTGGTTTTCTGTTGTAGAATCAGTCGTTTCCACTCACTCTGGAATCCTTGATGCAGTGGAACGAGGTCTAAATAGTCTTGATGAGATTAAAAAACATTGAGAGAAAAATAAAAATCACTTGCAGTAGAGTAGATTCCAACTCATGCTGTTGCCACTGTTGCCACGTGAATCTGAACTGTGCTCCTCTGGCCAGTTGACCGCTGTCTGAGCCCCTGCAGATATGGGACCCCTTGACTCCTTGGTGATAGAGGTCACATTTGCACTCTGGCACAGCGGTTTGCATAACAAGAGATCCCAGGGGCCTAATTTCACCCTTGAGTGCCTGCAAAACTCTCATTCACCTGCCCTCCACAGTGGTAATTTATCTCGATTTATTGTGTCAATTTGGCACAGCGTGGTTGAATATCATCAATCTTCCATTTCCAGGAACAATACAGGACTAGAGCTCTCCTTTCTGTCATCTTCATTAAGAGCTGAGGCTTGAAATTCACCTATGAGCTAGCCCCATTGCATTTTGGGGGAGAGCTTTCTACTCCAGAGTTGTCTGTGGTCAACCCCCTCCCTTGAGTGAAGTTATTAAGTCATCAGAGTCATTGGCAGAATCCTCTGTTGCGCTGGAAGTCTCAGGTAGAACCCTGCTCAATCTCTTGGCTTGGTGAAGGTCACCTTGTCTTCGTAGGATTCCTAGTCTTCTGGACTTTCTGGAGTTTCCCATTCTCGTTTTTGAACCATCTTTCAGATTAGGAAGGGAAGCTAATTATCTCCTGAAATAAAACGTTGATAATTCTGCTTATCCATGCAATTGGGAATGCCAGAGACGTGGAAAGCCTTTCCATCAGGTAGTGTAGACAGAGTGATTGTGTTTTTATGACAGTTTATCTCAGCTCAAGGTTGCTAACCAAAGGTTGGAGATTGGAGTCCACCCAGTAGCATCTCGGAAGGGAGGCCCAATGACAAACAGCCCAAATGTCAGCCATTGAAAACCCTCTAGAGCACGGCTCTCCGCTGATATATCAGGGCTGCCATGAGTCAGAGGTGACTGGAGGCCCCTGGTACCTGGAAAATTGCTAAACAACGCAATGCATGGACATTCAAAAATCAACAGCTATCAATTAGAATTACTCAGTTATAAGAAATGAATCATTAGTAATTCTCCATTAGTATAAGAAATAAGAGGTTTCAACAAGGTCACGAGTAATGTCACTACCTTTTCCTTCCATTTCCATGGACTTTTAGAAGCCCCCTCATGTAATGACCACTAGCTGTGCATGAGACAAAGTAGTAGGCACTGGGGATTTAAATTATTCAGTGGTCTTGGCTCCCAAGAGTCTGACAATGTGGGGAAGAGTCACCTGGCAGACATGCAAATAAACTAGACATCCCGAGGCCCTGCAGTGCTGCAAGCGTCACATGTCACATCATGGGGGAGGAAGAAGGCTCATGAGCGCCACCGCTGGGAGAAAAGCTGTTTTCCAGGCAGGCTGGTTAATGATATTGACCTGAGTCTTGAAGGATGGAGGAGAGAGATCCTGGCCACACCATGTAGGAAGGGCATGTGCCAGAAAGGCGGCCGTGTAGGGGCCGACAACAGAGGTGGTCTCAGATGAGACTGGAGAAGAAAGCTCTGTGTGCCACGACGGAGAGTGTGAACTTCGTCTGTGAGCACACGGAGCGGTGAGAGTTTCAAACAATGAACGAGCTGTCAGAGACAGAACAGGTTACGAGGAGGCTGGTGGTCTGAGCATTTGGGAAAAACTTTGGAAAACTAGGGTGTTTCATTTTGAAACATGCATGGCTTGATGTGTGGGGTGTGTAGGTAGAGTTCCTTCGGAATAAATAATAGTATTGGTCTAGTGTTTAGGCCTAGAACTATAAATAAGAGAATCATTCACATCGAGGTCAAGCAGTTTTGCTGCGTCTCTGATCTTGACAACAACAAGGATGAAGAACAAAGTGCTCCTTAGCTGAAGCTGAGATGGAACAGAGAGGCTGCTCTCATTTCCTAGATCTTATTCTTCTACTGTGACATCCAATATATAGGAATCTTATGCATAGAAATGATATACTTTATATGCTAAAGCTTTGTCAATACAGACTTTACATATTCATTAGCCATATTATTATTATTTTAAATAACACCTGATGAGGCTTAAGAAAAACAGTAATCAAAGAAATGAGTCACTACTATGTTGGGTTTTTTGATCCCCAAGATATAAGATATAACAATCTATTCCAGCTGGAAGGCCATCTAGTGTAAACATATTTTTGACCACACACCTGTATGTCACATTTTGTGAAGAAGATGGTTGTTAAACTTGCTGAATGAATGAAGATTTGGCAGCATTCAGAGCTGTTAGTTTGGCCCCTTTAGAATACCAGCTCCTCTGAAAGTAAGTATTTCACGTAAGCACAGTTGGCTTGAGGGTAAGAAAAGATGGTTGGGAAAAATATGTGATGAAAATGTTCCCATCATTACCTTAGCCCCACATTCAGAAATTGTCTAGCCAATAAGAAAAAAAATGCTATTTCTGGAACCTTGCTTAAAGAAATGGTCAAGTTATCCTGCATAAAACTTCTCAAACTGAAACTCAGGTTGTTGTCATTTTAATCCAGAATTGCCTATCATCACATAGTCCTCTGGCTCCCTGTTTATACTTTGAGCAAGTGACAAAGCATAAACTGGAAGATTCGGTTGTCTCTTGAGAAAGGAAACATTCAATACAGTGCCCATCCACCCCTACCCGCCGGCGTGTTCATGGGATTGTATTGACAGCCTTCTTATAAAAGGATGTGCTCACATAATCCATGCAGCTATGTGTCCTGGGGTTTCTGCAGAATAGGCAAATGTCAAACCTCATGGTTGGAAGTGCTCCAAGTGACTTCTCGTTCTGTTATCATTTCACAGGGAAGGCCATGGTAAAATCTCAGTGTTTGCTGTCAAAATGGCGTTAGCCACACTGTGTGGAGGGAAGATCATGGACAAATTACGATGTAAGTGACTGGCGCTTCTCTTTGCTTATCCCTCTTAAGCACCACCGACCCTCTCCCCCACTGCTCCCATAGGTCCTCATCCATCTATTCCTTTCCCCCTTCTCTGAGAGTTGAGGATATAGTCTTCCTCCATCTTTGGGTTCAGTCTAGAAATACTGTCATGGCAAATAAATTGTAATGAAATGACTGTTTCCTCCTATTAATGAATTATTACACTTAAAATCTGTTGAGTGCTACCCCCTAGGCTGTTTCTGATATCACAGTAAGGCATTCACTCTTCAGCACACCCTTACTGCTTGGCACAAGGCATCATCACATTGGATCAATAAGGGAAGGGATAGCAAAGCCCTATGGAACCAGACATCACCCCTCATATTCAGGGACTTTATTTCACAGATGGCTAAATTAAATGCCAGTTAGGATCAAAAGAAGACCAACTAGATTTGGTGGATGGTCCACTTCTTTCCTTTTTTAGCTAGCCGAAAGATACAATTAACAGTGCCGGAACCAATGGCTGTAGCCATACACAAACTAGACACACACAATAAGAAGAGCCTCCACACAATCCAGGGGGCACTTCCTCCAGGGTCAGGCTGGGAGGAAGAGGAAGTTTTGCAAAATGATGAATGGCAGGACAGGAAACTTGAGGGTCTCCCTGGCTGTCCTCATGTTAACGTTAGCCATTTGCGCTGAGAACGTTGTTGGTGTTGTTGCTGTTGCTGTTAAATGCCATCGAGTCAGTTCCAACTCATAGCGACACTATGTTCAACAGAACCCAACACTGCCCGGGCTGCACCACCATTGTTCTTATCTCTGAGCCCATTGTTGAAGCCACTATGTCAACCCTTCTTGGGAAGGGCCTTCCTCTTTTCTGCTGCCCCTCTATTTTACCAAGTACTTTCCCAGGGCCTGGAAATGTAAAATAAAAGAAGGGGAGGATAGATTATCCAACGTAATATTAATAGCTATGTAGACAAAAGCCTCATACTAAAATATGTTCACAGACAAGCTGAGAAAACCTCTGCCCTTCAGGACTGCTCACGGTCTTTAAGGGACCAGGGAATGATGTGCCCGTAAGGCCCCAGGTGCTTGTCTTTCCACCCAGCTTTCCTCACAGTATGGACCTCAGGCTCCTCCTCCTCAGGGGAAGAGGGTGGAAGCAATTGCAGGAGTCACATTCTCACTTCAGGGGCCGCCTTCTTAAGGAGAAGTTACCTGGCAGCCTCTGAAGTGAGAAGATGATTCCTGAAACTGTGCATGTTAGGGAGACAACTGAAAATGTCAACATGGTTACAAAACTCAAGACCTAACCAAAGAACTTAAAATCAGATCTTTATCAGTCTTTACCAGTCCCCTTGCAAGTCTAGGTGCTCAAAGCACACACCCACACACAAGTATACCTAGTACTGTACTTTTTCATATCCCATCCCCTCTCCCACCATACACACAGTGAATAAAGCACCCATGCTGTCTTCTAGCCAAAGTCCTCTCCAGTACCCTGAAAGAGGCAGCCGATGCATGAGATCCATTTGAAGGTTAAGCAAGTTTCCGGTCACAGAAGCAGCTTTGCGATGGCGCAGTTCTGCAGACTGAGAGTGACCGAGCAATAGGATCTGGTCCCTTCTCCAAGATGAATACCCTCAACTGTGTACTTGTGTCCAAGTTCCTCATCTGTGACCTCACTCTTTGGGTCGTTAATCCCAGTAAAATAGTTTTCCTGGTTTCCACGTAACTTGGTTAAAAGCAATTTAACTAAACACAACTTAGCTGAAAGCAAATTGGTTAGAGGAATTGCTCCAAAATGTTAGTCAAATTTAATATCTGTAGTCATTGGTATTTGTAGATGCACGGATAATTCGTGCATGAAAGCGCAAATGTGAAGTAGAAGAAGAAAGCACAGACAGCAGTGGCTGACTTGCTGAAAGGGATTAGGGGTGATTTACATAATCTTTATTTGCTAGCTTGCATTTAATGATAAAGTACACAGGTAATGATTTTCTGCATTGTTTTTGTAATAAGAAAAAGCAAAATGAAAGGCTATGGAATGTTTCAGGATTTGTTTTTCCCCTTCTTTAGATCTTTCTAATTTGCTTTAAGCCAACATGCCAGCTGTTCTTGTTTGGCACTTTTTCTATTTTTTGTGGGGCCGGGTGGGGGAGTAGGGATGAAGGATGTTTAGTTTGTTCCAGATTGCCTTGTATTGTTGGAGAGCACAGAGCAAGGATAATTGGCTGAAAATAATTCAGAAATGTTCACAAGTAGAAAACAACAGAAAGTCTAAAGCTGATATATTCCTAAACCCTGTTTTGAAGTGTGGTCCGAGACAACAAGCCAGTGTTGCAGCAGACTTTCCAATATTCGGGGCATAGCACACCGGATTGGTATAAAAGGTTGGCCTTTCTATTGTATAAAACAGAGATCAGAGGGTGTACATTGGTACAGATAGCAACTGGAAACACAGGGAACCCAGGACAGATGACTCCTTCAGGACCAGTGGTGAGAGGGGCGA